AATAGAGACACAAAAAAAAAAATAAAAAATAAAAAAGAAAAAGAAAAAAAAGAAAAAAGAAAAAAATTTAAAATTGTTAATCAAACAGAATAATTTAAACTTATCAAACAATGGATCTCTAATGGAAGTGTATCCTATTTGGTGGGATCCCTTAATTTTTTAATGAGATCAAATTATATTAAATAAAATATGAATGATACAAAAAAAAAAAAAATTAAGAATTTTTGATTAGTTGGTTTGTAGCATATTTTACAAATGCGTTCAGTTTTTTTATTTTGTTAATTTAAATTTGAGAGAACAAGACTGTTGGTTTATCATTTCGATAATTTAAACCATTTATTTTATAAGGCTTCCCACAATATCATTCACATGTCTCAATTTACTGTAATGATACCACATCACATTGTGTAAAATTAAAAATTTAGGCTTGCACTAGAGCAAGGATTCTTTCTCCTTGGATCTCTCTACTCGGCTCCCTATTTGGTGGGCCATTGGATTCACTTTTGGGCTTAATTTTGATGATTCGAACCGTTCATATTTTAGGATTTGCCAAGTATATCATACTTGTAAAAAATTAAATTGATCGGATATCGGAAACCACGAGTTCGGATCATCGAATCAAAAATTGTTTATTAAAAAAAAGTGTAAATTACACTTTGCCCCCTAAAGTTTTACCCGTTTCTCACTTTGGCTCTTTAAGTTTGATTTTTTCCACTTTGGCACTTCATGTTTGCAATCTTTCTCACTTTGGCCTTTTAAATTTGATTTTTCCTACTTTGGCCCTTCATATTTGCAATTCTTCCCACTTTGCTCCTAGATTAACTTCTATCCAAAAAACTAACAATCTGCCATATCACCGACACATCAGCGCCACGTGTGATGTAAAAAATTCACTAAAGATTAGGGGTGGGCGTGGGTAGGTTGCGGCTACGGAATCTCCAATTCGCCATCCGTTCGGCAGATTGACGGATTGGAGAAAATCAATTCATATCCATTCGCCAATTTGGTGGATATGGATTGAACGGATTGGCGGATTGGCAGATTGGTGGATGGATGCAAATCGGTTTGGCAGTTCAAAATTTTATAAATTTTCAACATAATTCAACTTGTGCACTTCCTCAAAAAAATAAAAACTACAATCAATGACTTAAAAAAGTATTACAATCATTGCATACCTCATCTAAAGAAAAAAAGTTTGAAACTTTAAAATATTACAATCACTACATGCTTCATCCATATATTACAATTACAGCATGCCTCATCCACATAAAGTATTACAATATGTGATTCTTAAAATATAAAAACAATTCAAACCCCCAAAACCATGAACAGAGCAGTAGTAGAGATTGTATGCCTCTATATTGTTACATCTATATATGTTTTTGAAAACAAAAACTAACCAGTATATATTATCTTTTTTATTTATTATTTTTAGAGTTAGATTTAAAAACTAAAAAATATAGATAAATAATACATTTATTTTTTTCAATTCAAAAATATATTCAAGTTAAAAACTCTTTTTCAATAATATATATTCAACAGAATATTTAAACTCTTTTTCAATTGAAAACACAAACATAATATCTACACAAATTAAAAGCACAAAGTCTTACAAATTATTAGGGATGCTCACACTTGCGGCCAAATGAACTTCAAATCTGCCATCCATCTAAAACTAGGAGGATTAAAAAAAAATTAATCCATAACCGTCCGCTCGTCATTACGCATTAGTCCAAAATGCGGCGGATTGGTTCGGTTGGTTTAAACACCCTCATCAGCATGACGACGTCAAATAGTTCATTGTCTATCTCCTTCAATTCACATGTTTGCTGATGGACCTCAGGTAATTTGTCTCCATACTGGTTATCAGAGGTTGCAGCTCTGGCAATGGCTTCGAGTTTGAGCTGCTGGATCTTGAGGAGTTGTTGTAGGGCAGTTCTGGCTTGGTCAATGGCATCGTCCTCTTCATTTGAAAGTTGTTCCTGGATTTCTGCCATTTCATCCATTGAGATTCCGGAGTCGTAGGTAAAACGATCCTCGAGTTGTTACAGAAGAGACTGGTACTGTACAGCACGGGGATGAAATTGTGGATCAATCCAACGGCTGGATGGTTCTGTCTGAGAGAGGATGATCCTTTCTTCGAAATCTGGACTTCTGCAGGGAGATTCCTATCCCTGGGTACTATAAGGAACCAGAGAAGAAGTATGGTGTTCGAAAGGCTACCACCTACAAAGGGAAGCCACATAGTTCTCATGTCCGAATTGACAAGAGAAAGTATTTGCAAAAATCAAAACATTGCAAATGCTATTTATGTGGGGAAGAGGGACATTATGCCAGAGATTGCACGAAGGAAAAGAAGAATGTCAAAAGGGTAGCTGTGTTCGAAAATCTGAGCATTCCTGAAGACTATGATGTTATGTCTGTAGAACCAGGCGATGATGACTCAGATGCAATCTATTCGGTACATACATTGATCCAGTCACAAAGGAAGAAAAGCGTGGCCTTGGAAGATCCTTATCAAGGTTCAACCCTGATGCAAGAGGAAGCTTATCGAGATCTTGAAAGACTCTCATGGATGGATCGGTATATCCGTTGCTCACCCCTACTAAAGATGCAAAAAATGAAATATAGAAAACAAAAAAATTGAATTTCTTTTTTAGTCTTTTGTGAACTTTTTTTCAAATTTATTCATAAATATTATTACATTATAGATGCATTTAGCTTAGATGACCTAAAATAATAAAAACAAATTTAAATAAAAAAAGAAAAAAAGTTCACTAAAGACGGGAAAAAAAAATGATAGTAAACTTTTCATTTTAGAATTGACAATACATGTGTTTGAGTTAGTATATTTTCATTTTTTTTTTGTTTTTAGTAAACTTGTTCCTTTTTTTAGTTAAATTTGTTTTTATTTTTTTAGGTGCATCTAATCTAGATGCATCTATAATCTATAATATAATAACGTTTATGAATAAATTTGTAAAAAAAAGTTCTAGACTTAAAAAAAATTTCAAATTTTTTTGTTTTATATTTTTCATTTTTTTTTGTATCTTTAGTGAATTTTTTACGTTACACATGGACCTGATGTATTGGTGATGTGCCGAATTCTGTTAGTTTTTGTGATGAAAGTTAGTTTAGGAGTAAAGTGATAAGAATTGCAAACATAAAGTGTCAAAGTGTTGCAAACATGAATGGCCAAAGTAGAAAAAATCAAACTTAAAGAACTAAAGTAGAAAATGGGCGAAACTTTAGGGGGGCAAAGTGTAATTTATCCTAAAAAAAATTTAATAAACAATTTTATTTTTTAATAAAACTTTTAGTTCGATTATCCGATACGTGGTTTCTGATATTTGATTGATTTGATTTTTTACAGGTATGATATACTCGACAAATTCTAAAATGTGAATGGCTCGGATCATCAAAATTAAATCCAAAATTGAGCCCAATGACCCATCAAGTAAGGAGTCAATTACAAAGATCCAAAGAGAGGATCTAGACTCCTTGCACTACTGGATTGATCCTTGAGATGAGGTATACTTAAGGGATGGTATGAGGAATAGGTATCTGAAAGTATTTGCAATTCTTATACCACCGTCGATGGCACAGTGGTACAAAAGAGGAAGCAATAATTAACCATCGATCTCGTAGATATGCTATGTTCGTTTGGAACAAAGATATAGGATTGCAGGGCTGTCGAATAGCTTCTGGTACCTACACTCATGTTTCTCCAATGTTCTATTTTTATTTTTTATTTTTGATAAATTATAAACACACCTCTTAAAATTTACTTAAATTACAAATTACCGTTGTAGTTTTAAAAATTACATTATGCCTTTGAAGTTTCTAATTTCATAACAAATAAGTTATTTTATTAATAAATCATCAGGTTAATTAACAGTTTTTAATAATGTTAAAATTTTATTTCAATTAATAATTCAGAAAATTTTATTATTGTATAGGTGAACAGTTAGAAATTTCACTTTTTCAATTAACTTTGTTAAATAAAAAATTCTTATAGAGAGATATTTGTAATTTTTCAAACTACAGAGGACAATTCGTATTTGAAACAAACTTAAGGGATGTATTTGTTATTTACCTTCCCCCTAGATCTTAGCAACCTATTTCTATAGAAAAAAAATCAACAACTGTAAGGTTTTGTCTGTTTTTAACGAAATCACGATTAGAACAAATAGATGATTTAAAGTAAGAGAAATTAATTGTATTGAACCTTCAAGGTGGTGATAGGTCAAAATATTTTTTTGTGCAACAATTGGAGATGAAAAGGAATCTATAAGGTATATAATGGGAACCAAGAAAAGGAGAAAAACCCAGAAAAAGGGATTCGGCTGTAGCGGAGACTCCGATGGCTATCCAGTCGAAACGGTGCTGTGTGTGTAAATGAAGTCCACGGGCATAACCAGATGTGCACACCAAAAATAATAATCCTGTGGTGCAAGCCTAAAGTTTTAATTTTATACAAAGTGACGTGGCAGCGTCTAAATAATGGAACAGAAGATTGGTACAACAAATTGGGACAGGTGATCCAACCCCAAGAACACCACATTACAGTTCCTTGGAAAGGCTAAAAATAATAAAAAAGGAAAACACAAAGCAAAATAATATTCCAGCCATCCTAAAATAATAGTCTATTTTGAAAATTTAGTTTTTGTTTTTGATAATACAATTATTATATGGATCTATTTAAGGAGAAGTTAATTAGGTATTCTTGAAGCAAATGACAAATTTAATTAGAAGTTAATTAAGTGTTCTTGGAATAAGGTTGTGACGCTATAACGTTTGCTTGATCATATAAAAAAAAAAATGTATTGAGGAGTAAGGATTGAACTTGTAAAAATATTTGGTGCTTTTAAGATAAGAATTGTACGAGTCACATAAACGTTCACATCTAAACATAGATCATATAATATGACTTATACGCATATCTTTACGTGAGAAAAATGTTTAAATTCATTTCTCCACCAAGGTGGGTGGGGTCCATCTAACTCAAATCATCAAAATCACACAAGTCGGACAAAGTTTGCATAGGAGTAGAAATATTCTTGACGAGCCCAATTATTTTGAAGTATAATTGGAGAAGTTATTGTAAAATAATATCTTGATTGGCCCATATCATTACTTAACTGCAAGTTAGGTTGTGTTTCAAAGGTTTCTTCAACCTCTACTAGCAAGATTTAACATTTAAAATTTTATTGAACTAATCAAATAGTTAAGGAATTGATCAATTATTTATACGAACTAACTTAATTCAAACTATCCTAGTATAAAAACCTTCCTCAGCCACCCTACAAATTAAACATAACTTTGATGGCTTTGCCACCACGAGCACTCGTTTCAAAGGCTTCCTCCACCTCCTTCTGGGAGAATCCAAATCTGTGGGTTATCAGCGGCTTCACATCAATCCTTCCGCTGCTCAGAAATTCAAGACATACTGGCCATGTGTTTTTATATCGGAAAATACCAACCACGTCAACCTCCCTGTAAGTAAAAAACCATAAAAAACCAATCAACCATCATCAAAGCTAAAAATTACTAAAATTTTGTTGGTGACTTCAATATCAAATGAATTGAAAAAAAAAAAAAAAAAATTGAACCAAATACCTTGCAGCAGCGGGAGGGAGCGGGACGGTCATTTCACAATGTCCCATTCCAACGAGGCAAACTTTGCCACCAGAGGCTGTGGCACTCAAGGCTGTCGACATGGTTTTGCTAAAACCAGCACAATCAAAGGTCACACTCACTTCACCTCCCATGGCTTTTCGAATTTGTTCTACTTCTTTACCCACATCCTACAAAGACACTTTTGTTAAAAAAAAATGGCAAATTTTTGGGAATTACCAGTTTGCAGTGTCATTCTGTGATTGGTTTCTATGCAAATAGTGCAAACCTGCATATTTGATGAAACTTTGACGACTCCATCTGCACCAAGATCTTTGGCAACAGAGAGGCGGTGGTCATCCACATCTACGATCACAATTCTAGGGGCTCCAAAAGCACGAGCAGCGAGCATTGTAACCAGACCTATAGGTCCCGCTCCAATGATCAATACGTTGGTTGTAGGACCAATATGAGCACGGAAACAAGCATACACACCGACACTGAGGGGCTCGCACATTGCTCCTTCCTCCATGCTGACATTATCAGGCAACTTAAAGCATAAACTTGCAGGATGCACTATCTGTCAAATATCATCAATCCAACTAATAATTATCAATCTAAAAAAAAAAAAAAAGACAAGAAAAACAAACAAAAAAAACTAATAATTTGATCAAAGAGGGCAAAAGTAATATAAAATAGATTTTATTTTATTTAGTGACCTGATTGGCAAGAGAACCATGAATGGGAGGAGTAGCGAAGAACTTCATGTCGTGGCACAGATTGTAACGACCTTCCTTGCAACGATTGCATTTGCAGCAACTGATGCCAGGCTCCAAAGCCACTCGGTCACCTTTCATTAATGATTTCACCTCACTCCCAACTTCTTCTATGACTCCTGCACACTCGTGTCCGATCACCATCGGCTCATTCACAACAAAGTCTCCACATCGCATTTTCTGAAATTATACACAACATTCACAACCAGTAATGTATTTGATAAAGAGCCCTTTAAGTAAATCCATGGTCTCTTTTATCATTAATTTTTTAATTGATGATTGCCAATAGATAATATATCACCTTGAGGTAATGAACATCACTGCCACAGATACCAACAGCTTTCATGCTAACTCTAACATCGTTGGGACCTAAAAAATTATGAAGAATATAAATAAGCCCATGAGTAGTAAGACAAATAATACAAATACGCATTATTATTACGTAAGAAAATCAAAGGCAAAATTATGTTAGAATTTTCATCATTCTAAACACAAATAACAAAAGATATACCAAGAGGAGGAAGATGGAATGGTTGAATTTTAAGAGCATTCACGCCAAGCAGCCACGCTGCCATGTTCTCTCCAGATATTCCTCCCTTACCCATGTTTTTTTTTTCCTTCCCTTCTTTTCAAACAAACAAGCCCTCAAACTTACGATTGGTTTGGTGTCGACAGTGTATACCTATATATATATATATATATGTGATATGTGAAGAAGACCTATTTTAGTCATAATAGGATTAGATCAGTTATAGATTTACTTGGTAATTGATTCTTATCCAAATTGATGTTGATGATGTAATTAAAGAAATTAATTTTTGAGCAATAAAAAAAGTATATATTTGATTTGATTAGATAAATAAAATTTGGATTTGACCAATTTGAATTTAGATTTGCATAATCGTATTGACATTTAAGATTTGGATATATATCCATCTAAAAAAAGGTTTGGACTTATATATATATATATATATAATGATGTAATGATATCTTATATCATATCATGAATTAGTCTAAGGGTAGTCACACGGGGAGAGATTTAAGGAGGATTGCATTAGTTATCCACTTTTTAACTTCATGCGGTGTATTTGTATTTAATTTTGCAACAATTCTACTCGCATAATACTAGTTTGACAAAATAGTATATTTTTTCTATCTTTTTACTTTTTTTTTAGTCATATCATCTTTTTATTTTTTTATATATTTTTCATAAAAAAGTTAGAAGTATATTAATTTAATACATCCCAAACAACCATTAGTAATGTTAGGGATTATGAAAAAAAATATCATGAAATGTTTCATGAAAATTTTTTCATCCTTTAATTAGTGTGGTGTTTTATTGTATATATAATTCATGAGTGGAGAATTTTCATAAAACATTTCATAATGTTTTTTCCATAATAACTAGCATTACTCTAATACTAATCACATAATTGCCTATAAAAATACTATTATACTTTCTTTAAAAATTTAAACAAGAATCTAAAAAGAAAAAGGTTAATTTTATTTTAAGCTAATTACATCAATGGTCCCTAATTTTTCGTAAGTTTCAGTTTGGCTCCGGTACTTTGAATTTCGTCAATATGATCCTTATACTTTCTATCTTGTTTCACTTTGGTCCTTTTTTCTTTACAATCTTGATCCTAAGGTTTTAGTAATTATATTCTTGCCTCTTAAGTTTTGTTATATTATAAAAATACATTATTTTATTTCCAACGCCCCACGCGAAGTTGACTCATTAAGATCTTCTGATTTCCTTCACTTTGAACCGATCAGCATTTGTTTTCAGAGTTTTTTTCTCCATTTTCACCACTTGAGGCATATTTCTCTCGAAGTTTAGCACCTTTTCCCGGGTTTTGACTTTCTTTGACTTTTTCTCTTCCCGAGAGTTGACTTTTGGCAATTTTAGCTCATTTTGCTCATTTTTGCTCATTTTGCACCTTATTTTCAGATGGTTGACGATGCTTCATATGACGAGGGTCCTCTAGGGATGGAGAAGGAGCCCGACATCATTCTGCTGCCTTCTAGGATTTGGCCCTTCGACCTTACGACGTACCGTCCCGAGGAGCACATCTTACCACCCAACACTTTTCATCATTTTACAGACTTTACGCGACGAGCACCCGCAGACTTGCTACTATGGGAGCCGGAGTCTCACCTGTCTCACTACGCGTCCGAGGTGCATACTGCACTCTTACATTTTCTGCGATGTATTTTGTATTTCTTGCATACTTCATGCTTTCGCTTTGTATTTTATCTGCTCGTTTTGAACACATTTACATACACAACACTTTTGCTCATCCTGAACACAACTCACAGATTGTATTTCTGCTCATTCTAAACACAGCTTACACACTGCATTTCTGCTCATTCTGAACACAACTCACACACTGCATTTCTGTTCATTCTGAACACAGTTCACACAGCATTTTTGCTCATTCTGAACACAACTCACACTATATTTCTGCTCATTCTGAACACAGGTAGCTTTCCGTTCTACCCGGGCATATGGGTCGATTATAGCGAGGGAGTGGTACATGAAGCTCCCAGACGGTGTTCGACAGATTATTGATGAGGTAGGGTTCGGCCCATTTTGCATGGGGTTATCGCATCTTGCGTCGAGTCGGACCCTCCTGGGTGCGCTGGTAGAGAGATGGTGGGACACCACCAACTCATTCCATTTTTCAGCTACCGAGGACATGACGATGACCCCATACGACTTTGCTATGATGATAGGCCGCGATGTGGGAGGTCGGCTGATCCCATATGATTCCGATATGGGTGAGTGGGAGGCATGATGGACCTATCTACTCGGAGCTCATTCACCCGTCTACTGGTCATCGGGCACAGTTAGATACACCTGGTTCACAGATCATTACAGAGGGAATGAGCCCGAGACTGTTATGGCCACGGAGTAGTGCGCTCGGGGATTTTTGATGTTCCTTCTCGGGACCACATTGTTCTCCGATAGGGGGAACACGGTCGGGCTACATCTTCTGAGTGCTCTAGTGGACTTATCCCAGGTTCGGCATTTCGATTGGGGTGGCGCTGGCCTTGCTACCCTTTACTGCTACATAAGCTCGACCTCCTGCAGGAGCGGGAACATAGTAGGCGGCTATTGGAGAGCCTGGGAGGTACATTCCGCCTTTCTGATTTTCATTTCTGCTTTACATTACTTGTACACTACACACTCCACACATTACGTCCCAGACTCCGCATTTTGCACCTCGTATTCTGCATTCTGCATTTTCTATGTATTCTGCTCATTGCCACTGTCATGCTTTTCACAACTATAGGTATGAACCTATTTCCCGATGCTTGCTCCTAATCCGGAGGTTGAGACACCACTTGAGGTGCCATACTCGCGTAGATTTGAAGGTCGATGCCGGCCCAGACCCCGGGAGACCTTGCCATATCTCAGGCATTATTTTGACACAGTACGGGCGACCGAGGTAATCCAGAACTTTCAGTTCTTTATGCTTTCAGCTTCGGTTCATCTTGCATATCTATGATAACTAATCAATTCATGCACTTGCTATCCGCAGATCAGTTGGCAGCCTTGGGTAGTGATGCCAGGGTTTTCTCGGTTCTAGTTTGTTGGGGCATGGGGCGCCTCCCGATACCGGATTCTGTTTGAGGGACCAGTTGACAGAGCCTAGTTTCTCGGGGAGCGTTTCATGCGCCAGACACTAGGCCATTCCGTTCATGAGATCCCTTCACCACCTCCATTAGACATGCGAACCACATAGAGTCTCTCTTTCCAAGAGGTTAGCGACTGTAGACACCCCATTTTTGACCATCCTTAAGATTTGGACGTCATCGTTTGAACACTCGATGATCATCTATTTTTGTGTTTGTTTTGAGTTTCCGGAGGCCTCGCCAGCGCGCCTTGCCTCAGGATCTCTCAACTTGCCTGTTTTGTGCTTGGTTGTGGACCAAACACTTGTGTTTTTTGCTTTTGGGGGAAGAGGGTGGCTTGTTGGCCATCCCTTCAACCCACCGGCCTTGGCTTGAGGCCATCGGCCACAATTCCCTGCCATCGGCCAATAGTATTGGCCGGTCAGCATTGTTTTTGGTCAGTCGGCCCTTTGTGTTGGTCGATCGGCCATTTTTGCTGGTCGAACCCTATTCATCTTCTTTATGCGGATATTTTGTGCCAGCTGGCATAGCTGGCACGCATAATTAACCCCCTCCATACACGTGTATGGAGGGATTTGCCTCTTGCTTAGCTTGCTTAGGAAGCTTTGCAATTTTAGAATTCTATAAAGAGGGAGCTTCTCCTCCCTCCTCAAGGTTTCTAGAGGTTGAAAAATTAGGGTTAGAGAGTGAGATATAGTTTTGTATCTATACTCCCTTGTTTGATCCTATTTTGTGCATTAAAGTGAGTTTTTGTCTTATGTTTGCACTTGAACACCTAGCATTACACCATCCTTGGGTTGCTGAGGCACCAGAGGGTTTTTGTTAAGGTTCTTGAGTTGATTTTGATCAGAAAAACCTGCTGGAGCCTTGTTCTTGAAGAGGGTCTACAAGGGTGAGTTCCTTACTTTAGATACCGCCTTCTTGCTTAGGCTTTTAGCCCTTCTTGCTTATTGTTTTAAGCTTCGACTATAACTGATAAAAGTTCTGATTTTGTGTGCTTTAGAACTTTGTTTTAGGTCACTTTGATGTTTGGGGTTGTTTCCCCCCTCCAAGGCCTTGTTAGGCCTTGTTTTAGGCCATCCATTTTGGCCATTGTGCTTAGCCTTGCATGACCTCTCTACCACTGAAATCCAGAGGATTTTCAGTGGTGGAGAGGTGGTTTTGGTGTCTTAAATAGGAGAGGGTCATCCCCTCTCCATGTTGTTTTCAATGCTTGCATAAATGGCTTATGTAGGTAGCTCGTATGCTTAGCTTGTTTTAGCTTCATTTCAGTATGTATTAAGCTTTGTTTTGCCATGATACACCTCTGTTTTGAGTTGGTTTAGATACACCATGCATGCTTTGTACACTTGTCTTGTAATCCCATGATTTGCCTTAACATGTACCTAGCATTTAGACTACCATGCTTGCATGTTTTGGCTCAACTCCATGAATCTTTTAGGCTTGTTGTAGCATGCTTAAGCTCTGTTTTTCATTGTTTTGGCCATGCTTGCATTATTTTGTATAGCCACCATGTAATCTAGCTTGTTAGCTTTAAGTGTCCAAGTCATTAGCATGCTCCATTTCGACCATTTCAGTGGTTTGGCATCACTTGTAATGTTATTTCAGTCCATTTAGTATGCTCATATGCTTGCACTTGTGACTTCTTTAATGCTGTAAAGAGTTGATGCGTTATGCCTCGTAAATGTGTCATTGTGTATGCCATCATGCCTAGGCATTTGGGATGTCATCTAAGTGGGTTTTTGGGCTCATTTTAGCATGTCATATCTCTGATTTTGGTTGCTTAAATCATGCCATATTTGGTCGCATTAGGTGTAGTGTAACACCTCTTTGGCGGCCTTGCATGCCTCATGATTTTACCCCTTTGTTTTAGCTTGTTTTGGCTTTGGTCATTGCATGTTTTAGGCTTACTTTTCCATGCCTTAGGACTGTTTTGGGTTATGCTTGCCATTGCTCTTTGATTTGTGTAGCTTTGGTTCAAGTCCCTTGACTAGTCTTGGGCTTTAGGCCTTGAGTGT